CGGGTGTTCCCCGAGATCAAAGGGGCGCTGTGTTTTCCTCTGTGCTTCCTGCCGCTCAGCGCAGTGCCTGGCGCGCAGCTGTTACAGTTCATGTTCATTGAGTGAATAAATGTGTTCACTGTCCTTGGAAGCTGAGACCTGACTGTTTCCAAAAAACTGTTTTATGTACAGTATTATATATTTACATGTGTGTGTATTTTATATGTTACATATTTATATATATATAGTGTGTGTGTATATATGTGTGTATATATATTATTATTTTTTTTAACCAGGACAAACCTCAGTAAACAGCAGCTTCCTTGTTTATAAATGGGGTGGATGCCCTGGGCTCCGTCTGAAGTCCTCCTCAGCGCCTGCAGACTGGTGTTTGTGAGTTTAACATTTATCATCCTTGAGCATATTCCCAAGGAAACCATGCAGATTCTGGAGGAAATTCCAGAACAGGAGCTCTGAAATATTCTGGGCCACGGTGGCCACCGTGCAAGAAGAACTCGGCCTCTGCTCACGCTGGGCAAGGCCCGGGCGCTTCAACCCCCCGGGCGGCCTCCCCGCGGTGGACGGCCTGGTCCCGCTGCTGCGTGCCCGGGGCCCGTGCGAGAGGCCGGGTAAATGAATGCGCTTTCACCGGGGAGTTTCGGTCAGAGTCAGACAGCCGCTCCTCACGGGTGCTGTAGGGGGGACTTCGGTGTAACCGTGTGATGAGCGGCCGAGATCTTGCCTGATGATGAGGTTATTAAAATTTGTAGTTTTATAACTTTTGTTTTTTGTGCTACAACAGAAAGAAAAATGTTGAACTGTAAGCTTGGATAGTACACTATTTATTTTTTGTAGTTTCACGTCTCACTGGACTTCATGTCAACCTCGGAGAGCTGGGAGGAGTCTGCGTTGATCAGAATTGCTGACTTCCGTGCGTCCGTAAACTGGACGCGGTGGCTGGTCACCAGCTCGCCGAAAGGACCTGCGTCGGGGGTCCCGTGTCGGGAGGCCTCTCAGTGTGGTCCTTTTTGTCTTTTCTGATGTTAAAAACTTTAAACGTGTGAAACGTACCGTAGCTACAGAACTCCACGCAAAGCAACCGTGTCCTTGAGCGGGTGCTCGCTGGGCGAGCACGCTCCGGACCCTCTCTCAGGCCGGAGAGCAGAGCCTTGGCCAGCCGCCCTGCAGCCTCCGTGGGTCCCTGTCCCGCTCGGTGGCCCCGCCTCCCCAACTCAGTGCACGGATTTTTATGTGAATCACTTCTTAGCCTTTCTTAATAGTTTCATCGTGCCAATAGGCACCCTTAAATATTCCACTTTTGTTTTGCCTTTGAAATATGCTTGAGTGTTCAGCCTTTGGAGTCCCGGCCCCCTTCCCACCCTCTGGCGGAGGAGACCGGGTTCCTCGGGGTGGCCCGACCCGGGGCGTGGTCGGGCTGGGCTTTGCCCGTGGCTCCGGCTGCCCGGGACCTAGCCGTTTAGAACGAGCGCAGCTGTTTCCCGCCTCGGCCCTGGGATTCTCCCCGGAATACCCTTCCCCCGTGTCGCCTTGCCCTGGACCTCGTGCACGGTGTCCCCTGCTCCCTGACCCTCAGAGCTCGGCCCAGCCCTCAGCCCTCGCAGAGAGACTTCCCACAGCACCGGGGTCAAACCCCGGCAGGACGCCGGGGACGTGGCTGTGCTTGTTCCTCTACCCGCTGTCCCCACGCCAGCCTGCTCTCGGCCACCCCGGCCCCCCGGGGCCCCCCTGGGGGACACGTGGGCTTGTGTTGCTGGACGGGACTGGCCGGCCTCCTGGTGCACCGCTGAGGCCGCGCGCTGTGTGGACCCGCTTATCAACATTGAAAGCTACAACTTCTCATGTGGGCACATTGAGTTTTCATGATCAGATCATTAGAAATACTTTCTCCTGTTCTCTGTGATTCCTTTTATCTGTGTTTTGCTTAGAAATGTATTGCTTAATCTGCAAATATTTGGGGGATTTTCTAGATATCTTATTGTTCCTGATTTCTCACACACTCTGTATGATTTCAGTCCTTGTAAATGTTTGAGACGGGGTTTGTGGCTGGCAGTCGTCTTCTCCGGGGAGAACCCCCCTGTGTCGCTCCTGCAGACACTGGGTGTGATGGTCTTGTCGGCTGGGCATACCCACCGCTGGGAGTGGAGCTGGGCCCCCACGTCACACGTAAAAACCAACTCAGTGGATTGAAACTACACGGATGGGGTAGAACGGAAGGTGGGTGGGGAAAAGCACGGGTGTGCCTCAATCCTCGTGACCTTGGTCGGGCAGCGCTCCCTTAGTACGACCCCACAGGCGCAACCCGCGAAAGCACAAATTGGTAAAGTTGCATTTCCTGAGAAGCAAAATGTTTATGCTTCAAAGGACAGCGACAAGAGAGTAAAACGGCAGTCCACAGGACGGGAAAAAGTGTGTGCAGATCAGATATCTGATTAGACATCTGTGTCTGCAGCACCTCAAGAACTCATAAAACTCAACGATAAAAAGGCACATAACCTAATAAAAATGAGCCGATGGTCTGAATAGATACTTTTCTCAAGACGATACACAAATAGCCAATGAGCACATGAAAAGATACTCGGTGTCATTACCATCAGAAAAATGCAAATAAGAGCCATAGGATATCACTTCACACCGAATTAGGATGGCTGTAATTCTCTCTCTCTCTCACACACGCGCACGCGTGCGTGCGCGCACACACACACACACACACACACACACGCTGGAGCAAGGCTGGCCTGGACGTGGAGAAATCGGAACCCGGAAACGTAAAATTGGGAAAGCAGGCTGATGAAACACGGAGTTACCCAATGGCCCAGCAATTCCACTTTTCGGTATGCTCATCGTAGACCCAGGAGAAATGAAAACACGTCTCTACAGAATCTTTGCAAGACTGTTCTTGGCAGCGTTTTTTGAAATAGCCCCAAGCTGGAAACAGCCCGAAGGTCCACGAACTGGCGGGTCAGTCGGATGTGGCCTGTCTAGTCGAAGGAATATTATTTGGCAGTGAAGAGGGAAGGAAGCACTGGTACAGGAGACAACGTGGGTGCACCGTATGCTAAGCGGAAGCAGCCAGTCACGAGAGGCCACAGACTGCACGACCCCATGATGTGAAGTGTCCAGAGTCGGCAGGTCCATAGAGACAGGAAGTAGAGGAGTGGGGCCTGGGGCTGGGGGTGGCAGCATGGCGGACGTGGGCGGTGACTGCTGTGGCCTACGGGATGATGACAGTGTTCTAAAACTGATTGTGGTGACGGTCACACAACTTGTGGGTATACTAAAAATCATCAAAATGAGTGTACACCTCAAAGGCATTGTATCAGGTGTGAATTCTATCTCAAATTGTTAAAGAAAAATAAAAGAACCAGGAGCACCAAGAGTTCAGGACCAGGGCCCTTGATATTTCCTAACCCCACGGTGACTTCGGAAGGAGAAGGTCTCAGCTGAAGGTGGTTGGTCTGAGCGGTTGGAGCCCACTAGGGAAATGCGCACTGGATGGGCGTCAAGAGGAGAGTAAAAGTCTCAGGTGCAAGAAACCTCCCTTATCTAAGATTTAAAACATCAGGTCAAGTTGGTTGATGATGATGTTCATATATTCCACGTTCTTATTGACTTGTTTATTTCTTCTGTCAACTTTCGGCTCCAGATACTGTAGAAGTCTATTACTAGGTGCTACACACTTAGGGTTATTGTGTGTTCTCGGTGTGTCTAACCCTCTCGTCACTGCAGGACCCTGTTATCCTCGGTGACACCACTGGCCTTGAGGTCCACGCCCTTGATGCTGATAAAGCCATCCCAGCTTTCTCACACTTAGGGCGTGCAATTTATTTCTTTTCCCACATTTTACAGTCAGTTTGCCTGGATGTTTGTATCTAAAGTGCTTTTTAAAAAACATTGTTTTTGTTTTTGTTTTTGGAGAGAGGGAAATGTTAATTTGTTGTTCCACTTATTGATGCATTCATTGGTTGATTCTTGTGTGTGCCCTGACCAGGGATCCAACCTACAACCTTGGCGTATGGGGACGATGCTCTGACCACCCGAGCTGCCTGGCCAGGGCCAAAATGTGTTCCTTGCAACCAGCATGGCTGTGCCGTACATGTGTTGGCCCCAGAGCCGACTTTTTATGTGACCTCTGTTAGCCCAGTCCCGGGGTTGGGGTGGGAGAGGGGAGCTGTTCTAGGCAGGAGAGAGCAAATTTGGAATGTGCAGGAAGAGCAAGATAGAAAATTTTTAACTTAATTAGATGCTTTGTCTATGGGCATCATTGTTATACTCATGTAATATATATTTTTTGTTTTCCTACAATCTGCTTAAAATTCATAATACAGTGAAACAGCCCAGCCTATTCAGAAAATCATTTTTATAGTGTATGAGCAAATTAAGCATAAACATTTTGTTTTTCACTAGATAGATATTTGCAAAACAAAAAGGTATACATCACATTCCCTCCATAAAGGAAGATAAATGCATTGGTATTGGATTGATAGAGAAGCTACAAGTAAGATATATGGGAAATCAAGAAAATACAAACAAAAAGGTAATAGTGAGCAATTTGATTAGATTCTATTTATGAAGAATTGGTTAAAAGTAACCTTTAGAGAGTTTAAACTTAGACTTAGGCCGTGGCATGGAAACTCTCACAAGTGGTTTACATTTTATGTACTCTTAAGTTTATGCACACTTAACAAGGTAATTAGGCAGTAATCCGGCCAGGAGGAGGCAAGTTGCACATCAGAGGGAAAACATTCTCCACGCTGTCCCTCCCCTCCCCTCCCTGCCCCTGGAATGACCCTGGAATGAGAGCGGGGTCGGGGCACCCCCCTCCGTGAACCCGCCTCTCACCCTCATCGCATCGCCAGGCGTCCCATCCCTCGCCACGCCCCCCCATCTCCCGGGGCAGACCCCCAGGTTGCCCAGGCGTCCCCGGTCTTTGCGTTGCACGAACGTGACGACAACCCCTCTTTCCACGATGCTACAAAGCTCACTCTTCCCGTTGCTTCCAGTCAAACTGCAGCTGCAGGCCGAGGAGAGAGGGGTCGTGTCCATCAAAGGCGTGTGCGCCAACCGCTACCTCGCCATGAAGGAGGACGGCCGCCTGCTGGCTTCCGTGAGTAACGCTGTCCGTCTGCGGGGCGGGGGCGGGGTGGGGGGGGGGTGGGGGGGGCGGTTCTCTCCCTCGTGAGCTTCCCCGCTGCTCGTGCTCCGGCGCTGGCTTTCATTAAGTCTTAGCCGAGGGGTCGCCAGGAGTACACGTAGTCAGTACCCGTGTTTGCCCCATGACGTGCGGAGTGCCATGGTCTTCGCGTCCCAGACAGGACAGCTGAGTTCGGATGCAGCGACAGAGCCGGCGGGGCAGCTCCGCCTCCGGGAGGCCGCGCCCGCCCGGGCGGGGCGCCAGGAGGCCTTGACCCTGAGCCTGACCACCGGCTCACTGCGGTTTGCTGCGTCCTCTGCGGAGCTGCTGAGCCACAGTTTTGTTTCGTCGCTTTAAATCCTTGTGTCGTGCAGTGGTTCGCGGAGGAGCGGTTTCTTCCTGCAGATGCGCCGTGCGAACCCCTGGGCTGTGGACCCCGCTGGGGCACGTGGGCTCCGATCCCAGGTGTGAATGCCGGGTCTGCTGCCCCTGAGCTGGGCGGTCTTGGGCACGTTATTCCGAGAGAGTTCCCTTACTTGTAAAATACAAAACACTCATGATCTTCTCTCGTAGTCTTCGTGAAGACTAAATTAGATCACTTATACCGAGTGCCAGAATCAGGGTCTCATACACGGCAGGCCCTGAACTGGTACTTCCTAGGGGATGGAGTTGAGGCGGCTGGACTGGGAGCCCGCCGACCGCGGGGCAGAGAGGCGAGGGAAGGGCGAGCGCCCGGGATGGGCCATGTATTTAGGAGTGGAGTGGGGGGTGGGGGGAGCCAGAGGTGGCTGCTGGGCTCCTGGTGTGCAGGAGAAGCAGATGAGAGAGGGGACCGAGGACCAGAGCGAGTCCCGGGAAAAGCTGATCCAGGTGCCGTGGAGACCTGTCGGGGTTGGCTCGCCAGCGAGGAGCTCGGGAGAGGAGGCCCTGCCCGGCCGGCAGCCTGGGTCCGGAGCCCAGAGGGGAGGTCCGCACCGGCTCAGGGCTGCGGTGCCACCGGCATCCAGGTGACGGTTACACCAGGGGCGCGGGTGACGTTCTAGGTGAGAAACAGCTCTCCGAGGTCGACTGCGGGAGACGTTCACTCCTTCCACTGTTCTCGCCTCTTCTTCCTCCCAGTCTGTTGTCAGCCCGAGGGGTGATGTAATGCGCTGGGGCTCCACCAAAGCAGGGCTTTAAATATTTCCAGGACTGTGAATCAATGGGTGATTCTGGATGACCTTACCCCTGCAGGGAGAGGAAGAGGAGTTCGCCCCTGCCCTCCTCACCGCGGGATGTGACAAATCGCACGTGGTGTGAGTCACCCTGGCTCCCGCAGTGGCGTTGGCTCGGCTCCTGTCCGACAGTGAAGGTGGGGGAGGGCGGGGGCGGCGCACACACTGGCCGGCCGTAACTGATGCGGATCCCCCGGCCAGACCAGACGGAGTTAAAGCTCCAGTGTGTCCTACGCCTCTGAACCCGGCTCAGTGCGCAACTTGAGAGTGCCGCCCTGTGGTTTTCCACTCGCTGGGACTGAGAACCAGTGACCCGGTGACGGTGATGACGGCCCCATAAGGCAGCCACTGGAGGGGTTACTTCTGTCGAGGACGCAGCCTGGGGCGTAGGTGCCTCTGTAATGATCAGAAGCTCCGTAGTCGTCAAAAGTGATGGAAACGGAAGATACGCACCTTCCTTCCAGGTGCGTCTCCGGCGCTACCGGGGTCCTAGAAAGAGGAGGTGCACGTAAGACCGTGGGTCTGGGAACTCACAGAATTCTCTGCAGGTTCGCATTCAGAGAGCTGGGACCTCTGCTCTTGGTCAACAGGCACCAGGCTTCCCCAACACGGATGCTGTGCCGTCAGAAGCATCCAGGGCTCCAAAATAAATCTTCTCTGTCCTTCCTTCACGACACAGCACCTTCGGCCAAGGTTAAGGTCATGGCATCCAGTTTCAACCAAAATGCATCTGTCTCCTTGCATGTGCGCTAACTCTCCCCCACACAGCAGTTCTCCCTCGGGTCGGTGCGGTAAGAGTGGATTTGGCAATGCTCAGGAATGCAGCCCACGCCCCTCTGCAGGGGCAGAGCTACAGCGGTCCCACAGGAACGGGAGATGCAGGCGGCGGTTCCAGCTCCCGTCGCTGCATCACCACCGTCGCCCTCTAACCCCACCGCCCCGCTGGGCGGCTCGCTGCTGCCGTGCCTTCCCGGCAGCGATCCCGTCCCCGTCACGCCAGTCCGGGGGCTGCGGCAGTCTTCAGTGGGAAAGTAGTCTCGCACCCCCAACCCAGCGGGGTGCCGTCGGTGGCTCGGGAAGGGGCACCTTTCTCTCGGAGTCAGACCCGGTGGCACCGAGCTGGCACTGACAGACACTGTGGGTATCGGTCCAGTAGCCACCAGCTGGGGTGCGGAGGCGCCTTACAACCTGGAGGCGCGGCGGTTGTGAACTTGCACTTGCCAGAGGCGGGCTTCTCCCCGCTCTCGGGCCTCTGCCTGGCCCCTGGCCAGACTGCTGCGTGGGGCTCTGCAGTCCCCCCCCGCCATGCAGGATCCCCGCCTCGACCCGTGGTCGGACGTTCCGGGTCCGCCCAGAAAGAGACCCTCTGCGGGCATAAGACACCGGGTTCCTCAGTCACAGCAGAGACACCGCTGCCGGGCAAGAGCGCGACCCGGAGACCGAGGCGTACCCTTTTCCCCTCCTGTAGCGCCTTCCCGTGCTAATGGGCGGCCTGTGCCTTCAGGCCGAGCATTCTCGCTGTTTGAAAACACTTCTCCAGGGTCTCCCCCCCCCCCACGCCCCCTGCCCCTTCGGAGCTGGAAAACACAAAAGCCGTATTTGGAGGCGGACATGGAGTAGTTCTCTGACCCACAGCAGACTCCTGACTCCATTCCACGGCAGTTGCTACGGGCAACAGAAGTCCAGAACAAATATTAGGATTTATGATTTAAGTGTTTACCGAATTTGTAGATTTTTAAAAAAAAATTGCCTATAAGGAAGTCATTCTAGTTTTAGGTTTAAATCACCAAACAACCACAATGTTAGCATTGAAATAAAGAATCTGCCTGGACTTTATCTGCCGGAAGGTTCCACATTGTTTTCTGTAAGATGCGACAGACAGTGACAGACGAGCAAAACATCTTAGGAAGGATCTGAGTGTGTGTAACCTGCTTTGGTCCATGATAGTGAAATATGAAAAACTGTTTATATTCTTTGAGGATACACATTCCATGACTGTGAAAGTAAAGTACTTTCTTTAACCTATAGGTTAACTTTCTTACTCAGGAGCCTTCACTATGAAACCTGCACGCAGAGCAAAGTAGGGAAACTGGAGTTTTCAGGGCCCACTTTTCCAGACTGACAATACATACTAAACAAATCTGTCAGAAAAATGTAACAGTTAAAGAGGAATATATATCATTTTTAAGAGAGAGAGTAGGATTAAACGCAGATTATTGCCTAATAAGAATTATTGCTTCGTTTGGAAGCCAATCTTATAAAATGTTACGTGTATATACACATTTTTTACAAGTTGAAGATCAAACTTCCTTTTAACTTTTCACAATCTGTGTGCTTGAGTTTGTCCTGAAGTACCCAGCATCGACTCTAACATCGCATCTGTTTTTAATTCTCAGAAGTGGTGTAAGCAAGAGCGTTTCTGGATTCATGTTGAGCAAACTCCCCCGTAAGCCAGAACTGCAAAATCAAAGTACTGTAAAAGAATAAACAATCCAAAAACCAGAGCACAGGGAATGGCCGTGAGGTTCAGACCTAATGTTCCTCAGCTGGGGTGGGGGGGGGCGGGGCGCCAACGGCCCAGGGGGAGGGGACAGAGGCAGGAGCATTGTGGGCCCCCCCCCGGCCCCCCGCTGTGCGCGGGCTGCCTCCTGTGGAGGGAGGTCACGGTGCACAGTGCTGCGCATGTGGGGGATGCGGGGTCCTGCTCCCTCTCTGGGGGGGGGAGGGGTGTGATACTCGTACATTATCTGGGATTCTCTTATAGGAGACATCTGTCTGTGCTCCATTTAATTGTTCAGTGGTTTGTATCAGTACACCCTCATGGATATGCATCCCGCACTTTGGTTCCTCCTACTGGGAAGTGGCGTTCGGAACCAGGGCCTGGACGCCGGGTGTGCTTGTTGCTGCTGAGCTGTGCCTCCTTCCGGGCCCTCCCCCGGCAGAGCCTGGGACACAGGCCTCTGCTCACCCGAGGATGTGCACACGCCTGTACATGTATGAAGCTAAACGCGAGGCCCTGCGGGTGTGTGCGGCTCCAGGCCGCCGGCCCACTGGCACCGCTTCAGCCGCCCCCTCTGCCCCCTCTTGCTGGCGTGTTACCACCAGCAGTGCGAAACCTGGTCCCCCCCACGTCCTTGGGCGGGTTTTCAGTACCTATGAATTCCTCACATCATTTTCTTTCTGAAATTTCTAAGTAAGTTAAACATCTAATCAAAAGAGCAAGTCAAACGATTTAAAATGTTGATGATGCTTTCTCAAGTTCTCTTTGATTCTTCCGCACTCAGACAGATCCCCCTGCAAGGGGTCGGACGCGCAGCATCGCCTTTAAAATCAGCACCGCTGCTCTCGCCGCCAGCTGCTGGCCACCAGCCAGGGCCCTCCCTCCCACAGGACGCCGGGCCGGGCCCTGCGGTCTCAGACACCCACGTCCCCATTCCCCGTTTAGACTCCACCCCTTGTAGCACGGAGGATCATTGTGGCTGCACACGCTTTCTCGCATCCTTACTACCTGGCACTTGTCGGCGTGCAGGTCTGGGGCTCGCAGCGAGAGCCAGAGGGACGGCAGGTCCGGCGGCGTGCCCGTGGCCAGGGCGCGCTCACCGCCTGCTCCTTCTGTCCGGCAGGAGCTCCCCTCCGTCTCAGGCCCCACGTGTGTGTGCGCCGCCCTGAGCTCCTCCCCTTCCTCCATCAGTTCCCACTCGCGACTCCCCATCTGGTTGGGTGAGAAGTCGTCATTCCAGGGCACACAGCTCAGCGCCGTCCTCGGTTCCTCCGTTTCTCCGCGCCTCCGGTCTGCCGTGAAACCCGCTCTCTCCGGGGCGCAGACAGCCTCTAGCCGTCGGAGTCCCCGCCGCTCCGCCCATCCTGCTGCTGCTGAGCCCGCCGCTCACTGGTCTCCCTGCGTCTGCCTTTGCCCCCCACCCCCACCCCCCGTGTGACCCGGGAGAACGTCAGGTCGCGCCCCGTGGCTGCTCCACGTCCACAGTGGTTTCCGTTCCTCAGAGTACTTACCGTGGCTCCCGAATGTCCTCCGTCATTTCCTCTCTGACCACGTGTCTGACCCCCTCCCCCGCCGGCCTCCCGCTGCCAGCGCCCGGGCCTCCTCGCCACCCTCCCCCCGCGCGGAAGGCCCGATCCTGCTCTGGGGGCGCCGGCGCCGGCTGTCCCCTCTCCCCGCTCCGGGGCTCTGCCCTCCTGGGTGGATGGGTAATGCCTGCACCTCTGAGCACGTGCTCAAACGTCACTTCCTCGGGGCGGCCTCCGGTGGGTGACTGCGCCCTTGAGAACTGCAACCCTGTCCCCATCCCAACCCCTCCCGCCCTGTCACCGTTACCCTTCCCACAGGGTTGCCCCTGTTTCGGCACGCGCAGTCACTCAGTGACGCACGTTGCTCAGCAACGCATGTCACTCAGCAACGCAAGTGGCACGGCCCCCCAGCTGCTAGAGCTGGGGCGGCGCAGAGACACGCTCCTCACTCAGTGTTGTCCATGGAGGAGCCCCGGTGCCTGGAAGCCAGAAACACACGTTCAACGACTACGTCTATTATTTGAACCGTGTGCTTTCTGTGTCTTAAAATTATTTTTCAACTGAAACAAGCCAGACTAAAGAGAAATTTAACCTGATGAAAAGGTGTGAGATAGATACACAGGCAAACGACGTCTGCAATGGGAAACAAGGGCATCGGTTTCCGATTCCTCGTTTGTTGACGAGTTTACACGATAACGATGCCACAGGATCCTTGTGATATCGACAGAAACTGACGCGCAGGAGGGCGGTCAGCAACTGGGAATTGAGGGATTTCCCAGCTCACGAGCTGCATAAAATAAGCCTGAAGCAAGGAGCACTTTGTCACGGGCCCCTGGAAGTCACCCACTTCCTCTGTGACGTCAGTCCCCCAAAGGCCCCCTTTTCCCTGAAGTTTGCGACGGCGGGCAGTGAAACCCGGGGAGAGGAAACCTCCGTAAACATGTTTGTGCAGCGGGTTGACGGAACTTCCGTTGCATCAGTCTTCGGCAGAGACACTGAGGTCGCAGCCACGGAACACGACCCGTAAACTGAGAAGGGAGAGCGTTGACCTTGGACTTACATGGCGCTGTCCAACGCCTGCTTTTCTTGACAGCCGAGTTGTGCCCTGCGACCCACTTGAAAACGTACAGCAGTTCGTTGTCAAGTGCGTAGCGAGCGGCTGTTCGGTGAACTTACGGGTCTGGACTTTCGGCGCAGAAGCAAGCTTCCCTCCTGTCCTCACTGTTTTGGTCAAGGCACAATGACCTCTGTGAAAACGGCCTGTGGGTTCCATGACGTAGTGTCCACTGAACCCCCGGTACTGGGTCTTTTCTCTGAAATCGTAGGAACTGGCAGAGAGGCAGATGTTACTGGCAGGGTGCGCACTCCCACAGGCCAGGCATTGTAAGGGGTGCCAGCTGGCGAGGTGGGGCGCCCGCACGGGGGGCCGAACACCGAAAATGAGCGTTCCGGCGCCCTAGGCCTGAGGGCGGAGGGCGGGGCGTGCCTCTGGGGAGCTAGCCCGTGTCGCTGGACGCCGCCTTTCGTGTTATCTGCGTGACTGCGGCGGCCTTTCCTCTCACCCTCCCTCCCTCCCACCGCCACTCCTGGTCTCTAAGCTGGAACAGGCCAAGAGGAAGATCCTTATCGGTGGCGCTGACAACGGACGGAGGACCACAGGGTGACTCCAGTCAGCACAGGAACGTGGTGCTTCTCTCCAAAGGTGCAGTGAACATGGGGCACATCGACGTCACCCCAGCGTCCCTGGTGTCCACATCCGGGCCTTCACCGGCGACACAGGAGGGCCCTGGGCACCCGGAGCTGGTCCTCTGCAGGGCTGCCCGGGTTTTATTTGCATCAGAAAGACCTGAGTTGCTTCATTATTTTGTTGCAAAAAAAAAAGGGGGGGGCAAGTTATTTGAGTTTGTATTTCAATTTTTAAAGGTTCAAAACTTGCAGCCGGGTAAACATCCAGTAAAGTTCTCGGCCCTGGCAGCCGACCACACGACCCGCGACCACACCCTCACGCCAGCCGCCCGGGACCAGCGTTCGCTGTTCGGTCCCTTTCAGAACCTTCTCATGTCGGTGTTACACCAGCTGTGTTCATTGTGCTGCTTATTGATTTATATGTCTTTTTGACAGTCGGTGCCCTTGCCTAGTTTATCTTGGAGCCAAAGAGTCTGGGGAAAAGATTCAAGGCTTTTGAGTGTGGGTTCTCCCGGTCCCGAAGTGTCCTGGCCTTGAGTGGATAGACAGAGGCGGCAGTCTGGTGCGCTCCTCCTTAGTGCAAAACCACGGACGTGTGTGTTCGTGTCGTCTTTATATGTGGAGACACAACTGTCTGTGGACTTAGATACCTTGCTGTGTGAGTTTATCCATCTACCTATACTTGTAATATAAAAGGTAAATGATCCTTTCCCCCCTTAAAAGTGGCTAAGTCATTTGTTGACCCCCTGCCCCACCCCAAGAGGTCAATACCTATCATCAGTGCTATTCTGTGAGGCTGATTTTTGAACATTTACCTGAAACAGTGTGGCAGCCTGTTAGGCTTGATTACTTGGAACAGTATTTCCCGATCTAACTGTTTGCTGAGCGGGCTGTTCTCTGTCCTTACGAGCTGGGTTGCAATCAGAAGGCAGAGTGGTTTCCTCCCTCGCAAGAGACTGCCAGAAGTCAGCCTGTTCCTCATTATCTCTTAGTGTTTTGAGAGTGCTAATCATACATAATTTCCAGGACACTTGGGGGACATTGCATAGATTCGCTATTTTCTGTACAATAAACTGTTCTTTCATGCCTTGGAAACAGTATTAGCTACTAGAAAAAATATTGTCACCTGAGGAACTACCTCTGTTTCTGTGAGTAAAGTATTAACGAAACCCCTCTCCTTGTCGTGGGAAAGGTTCCTGTCCGACACTCTTTCACGGGGACCCTGATAAAGTCTGTGTGACCCAATTGGTAACCTGCCCCTGGAGGGGACGAGTGTGGCTTAAACCCCCCGGGGAAGCTGCACCTCTGGGAGTCCCCAGGTGCGGCGTGGTTCTTGGTCCTGGGCACGCCCGTCTCCGTGGGGCGGGGGGAGTCCCTGGAAACCGTGTCCCTGGGGCGCTCAAGCCGGAGCGAGCGAGTGTGGCTGCTACACCTTCTGTGTGCCTTGCCGCACAACCCCTGATCCGCCCCCCGGGCGCTGCGGGACTGGCCCTTGGCCACGCCCCTCCAACAGGTGAGCCGGGAGCTGTCCTGCTGCCTCCCCCGCAGCCGGACCGTGTCGGAGTCTGTCGGTCCTGCCGAACCCGGCGGCGCTGCCCCTGGGCGCAGGGCGGGCCTCCAGTGGTCACCGGGAGTGAACGTGGAAAGTGCAACAACAACAGCAGCAATGACCACTCGACCCCTTCCCGTGTTTTTCAGAAATGTGTGACGGACGAGTGCTTCTTCTTCGAACGGCTGGAGTCCAACAACTACAACACCTACCGCTCGAGGAAGTACTCCAGCTGGTACGTGGCGCTGAAGCGGACTGGGCAGTACAAACTCGGCCCCAAAACGGGGCCCGGGCAGAAGGCCATCCTTTTCCTCCCAATGTCCGCTAAGAGCTGATCCGCACGCCGCCGCCTGGCCCCGCTTCGCGCGCGCGAGAAGAGGGACGTGGCAGGGGTTGGTGGTGAGGAGGAGGAGGGGGAGGAGTTCGTGTGCAGCCGCCGCTCAGGCTGGGGGACGGGCCGCATAACCTTGTATCTAATAGCCGAATAGGTAACCGCCGCCTTAGTAAAGAAAACAACAAGAATTCCTGGAAAACGTACGGACTTCCACCTTTTATATAGCAATTGCCTTTGTCCAGCGAAGCTTACCTAGAGCTACCATCTTTTCCGTACACGCGGTTCATTTGAAAAGAGGCTTTTAAACTGTGCACACTCACAGCGTTTCTTCATGGAAGTCATCCCCACAAGAACACAAAGCCAGACGCCCAGTCAGCCCCCGGTGGCCCCTCCCAGTAGGACCGCGTGCCGTGCACTCCCCGGGCGGACGCGGGCGCCCGGGACCTCACTCGGCTCCGGCCCCGGCCGGGGCTTTGTACCTGCCCGGCAGCTCCCGGTGGTAGAGCCTGTAGAGCAGGCCCGTGTGCACGGCCCGGAGCGTGTCCACGGGCAGGTCCACCTTGTCGAAGCCTTCCCGGTGCCCGTACAGCAGCAGCCGCGCGGCCCTGCGGGTGATGGGCGTGGCGCCGGCGTCGGCGGCCAGGGCGGCCAGGTCCACCCAGGCGCCCCGCAGGCACTCGTGCGGGCACAGGCGGATGGCGAAGGAGCGCGGCTGCAGGCGGCAGACGAGGTACATGTCCGACTTCCCGAAGGCCCCGGGGTGGCGGTGCTGCTGCCGCAGGCTCAGCAGGGCCCTGAACTCCGACCGCACGCCTGTCTCTTCGAAAACCTCCCGCACTGCCGTGTCCCCTGCGTGACAGAGAGGTGTGCACGTCAGCCACGAGCACGCCTTTGGAAAACCGTCCTCAAGGATTTTCCGTTAGAGCGGCGTTACCCGAGGCTCCAAAGCAAGACTTCCAGAAAGTGACCTTTTCGACAAAACTGCCTCTGGGCGCCCTGACCCACCCAAGTGCTTTCTCACCACCCACCGCGCACTGGGACGCTCTTGAAATAGTGACTCCTTCTCTGGCGGCTACCTGGGGGGCTCGCTCACCTGGATGGTTTTGGGGTCACGTATTTTTAACCTCTCCCTGCTCTATTTCCCACAAGGCGAAATCACAGGTTGCGCGGCTGCGGTCACTGCTCCTACACGTGTTTTGTGATCCTCTGTCCTGGTCACCCACCAGCACCGCCCAGGTCTGCACGTGTCGGCGTCGCCGGCCTGCCGGGAGGTCTGGGTGAAAGGCGGGGGTTGGGGGGGGCCGTCGGGCCTCTAAGTCTCGGGAAGACGCCTTCGAGACCTTCCTGTTGTGCCCGTCTGGTGAGGCCGTCCGCGGGAGCCCCCTCGGGGGGCGGGGGCATGTTCCGTCTCCCGAGAGTCCGAAGGACTTGGAGTCATGCCTCCAACACCCAAACACTGCGGTCACTCCATCGGAGGTTTTCAAAGATCTCTCCGGAATTTTCTAGTACGACGGGGTTTTCACATCTTCTAGCAGTGATTTACTTTTTATAATATGCAAATTTCTGGGACAGGATTTTTATCACCACTCACACGTGCTGGCGGCTGCTTTTGGGACTGTCCAGATGAACCCCTGTGTCGCTCAGGCTCCGCTGGCGGTTGCCCTGTCCGCCGCTGCTTTCTGGACTCGTCATCGTCCCCAGGCAAAGCTTTGCTCGACCCTTCGCCGGAGAACGGGGCGCGTGCCACCGGCTGCCACTCCTGAACCGCGGTCTCTGAGTAGGCGGGTTGCTGTGACAACCAGACACACTTCAGAAAAGCACTGGCTCCTTACCTAGTCGGACTCGGGCGGTTCTGGCGTGCGCTCACACCCATGGACTCCAGCAGTTCTGGTGTGTGTTCACACCCATCCACGTGGCCTGGCGGTGCGTTTTCTGAGGGGAAGCCGCACGGCCCTCCAGCGGACAGGCTGCTCCCGCGCTCAGGGTGGGCCGGGCGCGGGGTGGACAGGGGCTCGCCCAGTCCACACGCCCTCCTGGGCCACACCAGGCGGGTGCAAGGCGGCCAGGGGTCCCGGAATAAACGCCTGTCCCGGCCAGCCCCCGGCCCACAGCCACGTCCTCTTCTGTTTCCCCAGAAGACCCAGCAGAACCTGGGTCAGCAGTTGCTAAAGCCGAGAATTTGCTACGGATTCATCTGAATGTAGTCAATGTACTTAGCGGTTGTTAGGAGCTGGCGACATACTGTGGACAGGGCATTTTAATTGGTGTTAACGTTTTTTTAAAAAAAAATCAAGCTTCATTTTTAAATAAAATACCTAAAGATAATTTGGGAAACTGTCCACCTAAATGCGGGCTGAAGAGAACAGGGACACACGTGTCGGGGAGGAAGTCGGGGAGAAGCGACCCCAGTGTTGGACGAGTCGCCTGTGGATTCGCTCCGATGGGGGCTGGGCTCGGCCGGTGGCGGGAGGGGCGGGCAGGGAAGCTCAGATTCTGTGGTTTGACGCCGAGGACTCTCAGCTCGCGCCCGATCCCCCGGCCTCCGGTGGCGCTGGGCTCAGTGAGCTGTGAGGACTCCCTCTCTCCTTCGATCTGGTCTCCTCGGAGATACTTCACTGTTCTGGCTTCCTGACCATTCAAAATAGATAGATTTTTCAAAAAGAGAAGAATTACCGTGGCTCCATAATTGACTTTATACACAACACTTGTTCCCAAGTTCACTTAAAAATCACCATCCATCCTTGTGCGATGAAATGGTCAAGCAACTGTATTTTCTCCGTTTAATTCCAACAATGTTAGTCACAGCCAAAAGCGCCCCCAACGCTACCCCTTCCGGAGGTGCATCCGGAGCCGCTCATTCGCAGACAGGTCGCTCCAGATGCCGTCCTGGGTGGGCTGGGGGTGGGTGGGGGAGACAGGAGCACCCTGTGCTCCCAGCGGCATGTTTTATGCTAACAGAACGGGTGCTCACGCTGCCGGTTCTGCTGCTGCTTTCCTGTCAGCCCTGAGGTCACCCCTCACTCGACCCAGTTAGGAAACTTAAAATCTTACTCTCAACCCCAGAGCGAGACAGCATACACGTGAGCTCCGCCCCCCCGCCCAGGTTCAGGCCCCCTGCCGCCGCGTGGGATACGCACCGAGGTCCTCCCCGGGCTCCGACAGGCCTCCCGGCAGCTTCCACAGGTTCTGGGACTGCGGTGCAAGGTCAGAGAGGGGAGTTGTCAGCCCGGCCTCCGCTCACACGCATGTGCGCGCGGAGGTCCACGGCACCCACCCGTAATCAGTCGGGGTCTCTTTTTTCCCTAATTGCATGCAAATTTTTTTTCCAGTTTCCTTCCTCTTTCTTCCTTCCTTCCGTGGGAAACTGGTAACTTAGGAATTCTTGTCTGTTTTCTTTGGGAAATAGAGAAGTGGTTTTGTTTGGCTAATGTGATGAATTCAACAGTGGAGGGAGACACCTACTGAATTAGAGTAATTTTTAAAAAGTTTTGCTGCTAGTTAACTATTAACAAATAGAAGAGTCTTACAGATGCTGCTATAAATAAGTAGAAAAATACAGTATAAATTTAATCACTGAAGTATCTATACTATTTTAATTTCACATTTATTTTCTCTGTATTGTGTGTCTAATCAGATATATTGTTAATCCTAAGGTCTCTCTTGCTCTGTGTTAATGATTTCACGGATACTATGAATAAAAATGACTAGTTTAAGTTTGTGAGGTTTTTGTTCTCCTTTTTGGGGGGACAGGGAATGGGCAGTGGGAGGATCTGAAATTGGGAGGGGGATATACTTGGGGAAGACTGATTATATGGCTCAGTGGGCTGAGCCCCGGACTGTGAACCAGAAGGTCACTGGTTCGATTCCCGGTCTGGGCACATGCCTGGGTCGAGGGGCCAGGTCCCCGGTTGAGGGGTGTGCGAGAGGCAACTGATCGATGTTTCTCTCCTTCTTTCTCCCTCCCTCCCCATCTCTCTGAAAATAAATAAATAAATAACATCTGTAAAAGAATAATGAACAACCATGAAATGGCACGGCGCAATATTCTTATGGCTGACCGGTAACTGTTTCCCGTGAGAGGCCGCCCCGCCTCCTGCCCGCCACCAGGAGGACAGCTGGAGGGGGAGAGACCGGGACAGACCCCTCCGGGCACTGCCGCTGGGAGCCAGGCCCCTCTCACTGCTCACTCATCACACACCTTCACGGACTTCGGCCGGGGCGCCCTGCGCCCCCCTCGTTTCCCGGACGGGAGCTTCTTAAAGAGTGTGTCACTCCCCAGCTGCGCCAGGCTGAGGCCGGTGGCGTGGTGCCCGGCGTTGCCACAGATGTGTGGGCACTGCACTCAGGCTTCCCGCCCCTCTGCGTCCGGCTCAGGCCCGAGGTCCCTCTGCACCGCATGCCACGGCTGACGCCGTGAATGCGGGGACCTCGGAGCACAGCCACCACGCTCAGCGCCGTCTGTGGGGGGGCCCCTCTCCGGTGCTCCGGAGGCCGTGTCTCTGGGGAAACGGCGCAGTCCTGTGTCCGGCAGGATGGTGGACCTCACACCGTAAATTCTATTCCTAACAAATGCTTCCCAGAACGATAGAAGTCAACTTTTAAAATCTTGTCCTAAACTCCATGGTGAATAATTGGAGATTCATTGTTGACTAAATTTGGAGACGTGAACTTACTAGCAGGGGGAACATGCGAGGTGTAAGGACTGAAAACGGCTCACGTAAGTTTGATTTTCATTATTTCACAGACCTCAGCCGTGGAAGAATTAAGGGTATGTTTATGCTGGTGAGTAGTGTGTGCTATCTTCTGGCGCGACGCAGCTTTACAGAGCTTGCTCTGAGAAAGCGTCCTCCTGCCCCCCCAAGCCGCAGCCTGCAGTCGGTCCGCGGGGCAGAGAGGCCCCCGCTGGGTGGTTTCAACACCGGCTGGTGCAGGTCTGCTCAGCGGAGAGGTGGGTGTACCTTCCTTTTTAATATTAAAGACTACTCCCCAGTAACGGGATTTACCAACATCATAAGAAATCCTAGTTCATGTATACTGAGTGTCCATTGGACTTGGGACATTGCTACGTGTTTCTGTAAGCATTACACGTACTGAGCCCTGGCTGGGTAGCCCAGTGGGTTAGAGCATCAGCCCAGGATGCCGAGGTTGCGAGTTTGATCCCTGGTCAGGGCTAGACTGAAATCTCTCTCCGCACCACCGCGCTCTCAAGTCAATAAAAAAATTAAATTAAAAAAAAAGAATTACACACATTTCACCTTGACAGTAGCCTGTTTTGGAATGGATGAAACAGGGCATAAAAACATGCGATAACTTGCTCGAGGCGACCCAGCTCGGGTGTAGTAAACTCCAGGCTGTCTGATTCTGTCCATCTTTTAAGCAATTTTAAAAGTGGATTGGCTGTTTTCTCATTAACCCTTAAGCACTATTTGCTGCCTTTCCATAACCTTCTGCTCTTTCCCTCGGACCTCCCGGGAACATCCTGCGTGACCACACCGGGACCTGTGTGGGAGACTTCTGCCCTTCCGGGGCTCGTGAACTTGACCCGAACTCTGGTTTGGCGTCGAACGTGTTTTGTACCTGCCTTTTGCTCATGAGTGCTCCTTCCAGAATCTCCTATCTGGTGTGAGATTTAATGCTATGCTAGTGGTTTGCTACTGCCATTCCAGTACATTGTTTCACGGGGGAAAAACTACTGAGGAAGGGGAACGGACGGCTTTTGACTAACGCCTGTTTGAGTTTATTATCTGTGTTCATCTCCGTCCTCTGTTCCTGCATTTAAAAACGGACAAAACACCTCTATGCTTCACGTGTAAAATTCCATGGTCCTTCCCCCCCACCCCCACTCTCCCAGAAGGAACTTTCCACTCACTTGGAGAGAAGTGCCCTTCTCCCAGCATCCCCGCTCGGTGGGCACCACGCGGCCTCCGCTCACGTGGCCCTCCCAGCCGTGAGCCGCGGAGTCTAGCTCCTGAGGCTCACGGCTGGGAAAGGTCAGGCGTCACCCGCTAGGAAAGGTCAGGCGTCCTTCTCACTTACAAGAATGTGTGACTGTGTGTTGATGGTGAACGTGATGACACTTGCCGGTGACAAGCGTGATGTTCTTGGAGGGGCGTGGAAGTAGGCGTGCAGGGGAGCATGGGAAGGGGAGGACGGCGGACGCCGTAAGGTGGCCCCCTCTCTCAGCGGGAACCCCGCCCGCCATCCGTCCTCAGCGGAGGGAGTCGCCGGCCCAGGAAAGAGGTGTTTTGGATCTCAGCAGAGGGGACTGCTTCCAAGGCATTTTTCAGAGATACCGACAGAATGTGCGATATTTTCTCTTTTAAAATAATGTTAATTTAACAGCACCGTTTCTTTTAAAGCTTGTCCTGAAGATCCACTCCAGTTCGTATGAGAGTTTCTAGAATGGGAGGGTAGGAATGATTTATCTTCTGACCCTTTTTGTCACGATTTTTCCAAGCTCGCAGACATCTCCTGTTTCCCTAAGCAGACGGTCACCTTCAGGAACTTCCCTGGGCCTGGCTGCTGCCGTCCGAACCCGGGGTTTGTGTCAGCAGAGGCCCCAGCGACCGGTCATTTCTCTCTCTCTCTGTCTCTCTCTCTCTCTCTCTCTCTCTCTCTCACCCACTACCTGACCTTCCCGTTCTTCCTTTACTCCAGCTTGGTCGGATGACAGAAGCTGGACTCTCTTTTACTCTCGGTGTTCTGGTTTAACGCGGCTCCTCTCCCTTTCCGGAATTCAGAGCCACTGTATTTAGGTGACACATTAACTACAACATTATTACTGTCCCCAGTGAGATGGAAGCTGCCATAGAGATCGCTTAACAAGTCCTTCATTCAACCAAAACCGACTGAGTGCCAGGCGCAGGCGCACAGAAACTGATGCCGACACAGCAACCCCGTTCTCCTCCCTCCTCCTTCCCGCACCGCCGTGGTGTTCTCGATACCACCACTGCCTGGTACAGTGTTTACTCCCTTGTTCATTATGCGTGTCCCAGTGCTTAGGACACAGCCGACCACGGGGGGAGTACAGGAGCTCAGAACTCCCCGGAGAGGGAGTGGACTGGTCCCTGCCCTGGACTTGGCCTTTTAGCGCCCGGCTGACAAGATCAAGCCACCGTTAGGTCTTTAGTTCCCAAAATCCCGGGGCGGGGTGGAGGGCAGGAGTGTACGGGCAGGAAAGGAGAAAGCACACGGCGTATCACTTGAGCTCTGGGTGTGAGTGTGTGCACACACTTGTGCTGAGGGTTCCGGTTCCCTCTGCAAGGCACGGCTGCCCGGGCAGAGGAGGCACCCAGAGGAGGAGAACCGGCTCAGACGTCCGGAAGCAACGCTCCTCAGGTGTCCGTGGTTGGCAGCTGTCAGTGTGCTCCAATCCCACCTACACCAAAATCACTGCAGAGGCTAACTATGCTTCAGTGTCACACTCTGTATTTTTCATTACAACGCTGACTTACACACGAATACTCAGTTTTTATATTTTGCGGCTCTCTGCTTATAACTTAAAAAAAAAAAGAAGTGCAAAACCCTAAGTAGGAGTATCATTTCTAATTCCAGGGCTGTCCAGCCTTCTGGTGTCTCTGGGCCACACTGGAAGACGAAGAGCTGTCTGGGGCCACACAGTAAATATGCAAACACTAATGAGAACTGATGAGCAAAAAAAGGTTTTAAGTTACAATTTTTTTAGGATGTTATTTATTTATTTACTTTTAGAGAGGGAAGGGAGGGAGGGGGAGAGAGAGAGAGAGAGAGAGAGAGAAACATCAATGTGCGGTTGCTGGGGGTCATGGCCTGCAACCCAGGCATGTGCCCTGACTGGGCATCAAACCTGAGACACTTTGGTTCGCAGCCCACGCTCAATCCACTGAGCTACGCCAGCCAGGCCAAGTTACAATTTTTTAAAAAGATTTCATTTATTGTTTTTAGGCAGAGGGGAAGGGAAGGAGAAAGAGAGGGAGAGAAACATCAGTGTGTGGTTGCCTCCCGTGCCCCCACTACTGGGGGCCCTGGCCTGCGACCCAGGCCTGTGCTCTGACTGGGAATCGAACCAGTGACCCTTTGGTTCGCAGGCTGAGCTCAATGCACTGAACTACACCAGCCAGGGCACAGTTTTGTGTTGGGCCACATTCCTAGCCACCCTGGGCCGAGTTCGGTCCACGGGCCGGACGCCCCTGAACCTACAGAGAAACCAAAGCCTTCGCAGTCTGCACTGTGTCTCCCGCCTCTGCCAGGCCCGGCTGCGCGGGAGCACAGCAGGAACACGGCAGGTTCTCAAGAGCTGTACCTGCTGGTTCCTGAAGAACCGACCCCGGCAGGCGCACAGAGCAGCGGGGGGCGGGGGGGGGCGGGGGGGGGGGAAGCGCCTGGAGCCCGGTGTGCCAGCGCAGCGCTCCTCAGACCCGCCCGTGCCCCCGAGTCCCCCACAAGGCCCGTGATGGGACTGCTGAGCAGCACCCCCGTTTCTGATGCGCCAGGTCTGGGTGGCCCCTGGGGCCGCGCTTTTCCACCGAGCTGATGCTGTGGCTGTCTCAGCTCCGAGCCCACCCCCGTGCTCTGCTCTCCCCTAGTGATGCGGGAGCTGGGACCCCGCTGACAGATGTCTGCGTTGCCAGGAGACCCCCTTTAGGCTCCACCCACAGCCTCCAGGGCGGGAGGGGGAAGAAGGGGCTTAGTGAGGGCCAGGCACAGAGTACTTGACCTGCTCCACGCAGTTCTGCCGACGAAGCTTGGGCTGAGCCCGAGACCCCGCCCTAGCTGACACTGCGACCTCCAGCCATCAGGGTGCGCGTTGACAGCCCTTCTGAGAAATGCGCGGACTGCTTTCAGCTCTCGCTGCCCACAGTCGTTTAAAACTTAAAAACATCCGTGATGGGGGAAATGTTTCACTCTGTCCACCGATATTTACCGAAGTCTCAGAAAGTACCAGAGTAATTATTCTCTTCTGCTTTTATATGCACGAGCGAGGATGAAAACATTCCATCTCTAATCAAGGTGCTTCGCTGAAAGACTGGGTGCTCCTGGCTGCCCACACCCCTGTGCTGGGGTGCAGGGCACTCACGCCCTGCTCCCTTTCCAGCTCTCAGGCCGAGGGTTTCACCACCGGCTGCACTCCTGGCCACAGCGAGCTCTGGCCATTCCTTCCACACTGTGGGCAACGGGCTATTTCTGCCCAGTGAAAAGACAAACATCTATGAACTGGGAAGTGAGGCCTCACCAGACATCGATTCTGCTGGTGGCGCCTTGCCCTTGGCCTCCCAACACCCATAACCGTGAGGAGTACTGTTTGCTGTCTAAGCCCCCTGACCCGTGGAATGTCTACCGCGGCTGGAACAGACGAACATGCCGCGTCTGCTCCTTGCCCGTCCCTGTGCCCTTACACACGCAATTCCAATTCCTCAGTCTGCTTTCCTACCCTTTTTTTTTTGTCCTGGTAATCTCCCATTCATTCTTCAAGACCCAATTGAAAAGCCACCTCTTCTGAGAATTCTTGCGGGGCTTCCCTAAGGCAAAGTAAACTGTCACCATGCGTCGTGTGACTGCTTCCCCAAGTGGCGGGGGAGGGCGCGGTGCAGGACACGAGGGAGACTGTCCTGTTAACCTTTGCACTCTCGGCGCCTGGCTCCGGGCAGGAGCTCAGTGACCGCTGGGCGAATGGAAGAACACCTTGGCAGTCTGTTACAAACGGAGCTGACTTCCCCGCCAGACTCGGCCATTTATAATTTTCCTATAGCCGTAACGTGATAGTGAGCGACAGTGAGGGGACTCTGACATTTTCAAGGCCTACACAGGCATTTTGGGGATTAAACAGCCAAATGATCCATAACTACTCAGAGATAACTTTTAAAACACCTTTGTGTTAGAAATTTCTGAGCATGCAAGAATTTCTACATTTTCTTTTGCTCTAGAGAGAACTGAACATTTAGAAAGCAATTTATAAGTAGAAGCAACTTACTTTATTTCGATCTTGGACAACCAGTATTTTTCCAGTATTTTCATCAAACACAGCTCCTGTTGGAGGAAAAAATAACAGATCCTGAGAAATGTTAATTTCGTTCATCTCAGACTCCTCCCACACTCTTACATGTGGCCATTAAAACCCCACCCATCCTGGAAGGCCCAGTTCAACACCACCTCATCCATGAAGACGTAAACTCTCTCCAGCAAGCAGCTGGTTGCTTGATTACCCATGACCCAGGGGCGTCCAACCTTTTGGCGTCTCTAGGCCGCATTGGAAGGAGAAGAGTTGTCTTGGGCTGCACATTAAACACACAGACACTAACGAAAACTGATGAGCAAAAAGAAAAGTTTTTAGGTAAATTCACGATTTTGTGTTGGGTTGTATTCATAGCCTTCCCGGGCCCCACGTGGCCTGCAGGCCACAGGTTGGACGCCCCCGGCAGGTTCTTTTAACCAACGATGGTTCCAGCATCTGCCGCCTTGTAGGACAGCCACCTGCAAAGCTTCTCTAGGTTGTCTGTTCCTGAGGACGCACAGTTAAACTCATCTTCCCATCCTCGGGCAGCATGTACTTCAGTGTCAGGACGGTTTCAAATGCTTAAAGATATTTACTGAATCAGTGAGTCGGCTTTCCCACTCGCATGCTTATTCCCCCGGTCACTGTGGAGGGGACACAGGCTGTGCCCCTGGTGACCCGGATCTCACACATGTTCGTGTTCGGCTCACGGCCTCCCTGAAGCCACCCAAGCTGGTTCACCGTTTTGTGCCCGGCTTTATAACCTGCCAGCATACTGCTCTGCAACACTTGTTACTTTTATTTATGTTTTAAGTTCTAGTCCATTCCTTTTATTTATCCATTCTTCATAGGCACTGCCCAGTAAGCTAAGTATTTGGCTAGATGTTAGGATTCAAAAACATGTTTTTTCTATTTCTATTCAGGCAATCCTGGGTCTTTTATGTTACTATAATGATTGGTATTATGTTCCTTTAAATGCTATAACTTAAAATATTTGTGTTTACACCTGGCTGGCGTAGCTCGGTGGATTGAGCGCGGGCTGCGAACCAAAGTGTCTCAGGTTCGATTCCCAGTCAGGGCACGTGCCTGGGTTGCAGGCCACGGCCCCCAGCAACCGCACATTGATGTTTCTCTCTCTCTCTCTCTCCCTCCCTTCCCTCTCTAAAAATAAACAAAATTAAATCTTTAAAAATATTTGGGTTTACATAACGTAGGAAGAGTGTTAAAAAGACATGTCTTCATATCCACTCATCCTTTCGATATTAACTGAGTTTACCTACGTAGCATGCACAGGCTGTCTACGCAGTACACGAATTGAGCTCCTGTTTTTGTCGGGCGCTCTTCTGGGTGACAGGGACACAGTGGCGAACAAAGCAAAACGCCCCGTGCTCACGGGGTGCTCAGCTGTGTCCGTGTGTGTGTGTGTGTGTGTGTGTGTGTGAGAGGCGACAGCAAACGAAACACGCATGCAGGACACGAGCAGGCAGTAAGTGCTGTCTGGAGACGCAGTGCAGAGGGGGGTGGGTATGCGTCACACGAGGAACAGCAACCTTCTCTGAAATGAAAACACACTTTAGGATTTCTGAGCAAGAAGGAAAACCACTAAGTGAGATATAATTAACACCAATGCTGGCTTCTATGAGAAAACATAAGCTATGATTTAATTGGACTTTACAAAGGGTAGAATGCCAAAGAAATGCCACGGAAACCTACTCTTAAATTTTAATAATGTGTCATTACTCACACTGAACCTCTCCCTAACGAGTTCACTGTCAACAGGGGCAAAACATCCCGCAGACAGACCCGGCGGCGCTAGGGCACAACGTGAGCGCCCCCTGCTGGTCACAGCGTGACAGTGAAATCGACGGAGATCAGAGATGCTTCAACAGAGGTTCCTTGGCCGGTTCACTACGGCCGGCCGGGCACTGCGCTAAGTGCTTTAGGTGCGTGACCCCGGCGACTGCGGCGTCGTTTTGACCGCTGCCCACGCTCACCCAGCTCGGAGACTCGCATCTCGTGGGCCTGGGTCCGGCAGGCCTCCTCAAAGCGGCCCGGGCCTGTCACCGCACCACCGCTGCGTTCTCCCGGGGTGGGCGTTCCCGCCTGGAGACCCATCCCACCGCTCGTTCCAGAAACACCTAGGAGCACTGGCTGTGTGCCAGGCGCCGGCTTTCACCTGAGCGCGCAGCGGGGAACAGGAGACGAGGCGCCTGCCTCCACGGAGTGCATGCAACTGCGGGGAAGTGAAGTGTGTGAGACGATGTAATTTCAGATTGGGATATGTGCTGTAAGGGGAAACAGCTGGGTAAAGGGACCACGGAGGGTGGGGCTGACACGTGAGAAGACTCTGGTTCAGACAGGAAGGTCGGCAGCTTTTCCGAGGAGCTCTGGGAGCCGAAACCTCAGCTCCGAAGAGCCAGATAAACAAAGCCCCAGGGGAGAAGGCGGGGAAGAGCAGCTGGCAGGTGTGAAGGCTCCGGGGGCAGACCCGGGTGGGGCAGGAAAGATGTCTCCACTGCCCAGGCAGGGTCTGGGCCTGGGGCCTGTGCACTGAACCCACAGGAGACAGATTAATGGAGGAAAAAATATGCATTTTCTTTGATGTGAATATTTTCATCTGGCCCGGGATGGTAGGGGTGGAGGGCGCTTCACAGACAGAAGGCCCTAGAAAAGCAGTCAGACCATTCTAACAAAGAGCAATAGCCCGCAGAGACATGCGAAGACACAGGGTTCGGAGCTGGGGTGGGGGGGTAAACGGTGGGGGAGTGGCTGCCTCGGGGTGTGTGGGGGGGGACACGGGGGAAACCAGGGGAATCACGGGTGGTGTCGGGGAGACTCCTCTCGCCACCCCCGTCTCTGGCCCGAGAGACTCATGCCCTACCCTCGGGGAGAAGGCAGGATGCGGAGAGCCCTTCCCGTGTTGCTGTTTGTCCCCTGGCTTTGCCCAAAACCACCAATGGGCCAAAGCGGCAGGTTCTGGGCCCTGAGCCCCCACACGGGCCACACGCGCCTTCTGTTGCTTATAGCAACACATGTCAGCTGCTTTCCCTCCACCTACAAATCTCTCTACATCTCCAGAACACACCCTTACATGATCTCGTGCCCAGCCTCAAAGCCACTTCACACCCTCCTCCTCCTCCAAGACTTGCCGGGCTCCAGAACTCGCGTTCCCTGGACCCCGACGGTCCGCCCCGAGTCTAACGCAAGGCACAGTGCTGAGCCAGAAACGAGGCCTTCGCAGGACTCGTTATGCGCACTGAACCGATTCTGCGTGGATGATGGCGCACTCCAAGTCTCTACCGAAGACTGGACAGTCACCCGTATGATCTTCTCACGGCGTGGGAGGCTGTGACCAAATTTTTCACGTAGTCTCATAAAGTGGGGCTGAATGGGAAGTTCCCGGATGCCTTTGCTCGAGGCCATGGACAGAGAAAACATTAGACATCCGGAATAACTCCTGTAAATGACTATCTTTAAACCCCTTGTAAATTATATGAAGGCAAATAAAATCATTATTGATTAAATTCATAGCCAATATGTATTACTGCTTCCATTTATTTTAGGCCATAAGATTCTTTACTATTTTAGTTTTTCTGGAAATCTAGGAATGTTCTTAATCCTGGTTCTCAAGGAGAAGAGCAGCAGCAGAGAAATTACCAGAAATACAAACTCTCGGGCCCCACCCCAGGTCCCCCCAATGGACCCCTTGGGGGCTGGGCCCAGCCTCTGGTGAGCAAGCCTACTGGGGGACCTTGAGGGATTTTGATGAACTTCACGATTTCAGAACCTGTCTTAACCTAAACCAAGTCTTTTCTCAAGACTATGTCTCAGAAGCTCATCAGTAACTTTGAATTTCGATAATATATTTAAATTGCGTTATTTTAAACAACCATTGGGCACATTGACGTAATGTCTTTAAGAAGTGACGTTCAGACCATTAAAAGGCTTGTTTGCTTTATCTTAAATTCCACCCAAGTTATCTTTTATTTTACAGATTCACAGAAGTAGTACTAGTATGTTTCACCATAATGCACTCATTCCCGGGTCCCCCCATTCAGTGTTGCTATCTGGGTAGTGCAGTTCAAACATCTGCGGGAAGCCTGTTTAAACACATCCTTCGGAAAACGAAGCGCTGAACTTGCTTGTTCCCGAGGGGCCCCCTGCCGATTCACAAGGCCGATCCCGCATTCAGAGAGCCAGCAGTGGGCCCCCGGATAACCATTCCATCATCCCCTCGCTCCGTGAGAATAAACCATCGCTCAGTTGCGCGCGAGCGGAAACTGGGTGAACCTCCAAGAAGTCAATGCTGATGACCGTGAGTTCGAAACTGACCTGCAACTCCCACCTGGTGTGTCGCGTAGCCTGGGAGCCGGCTGGGCCCCTGTCCCAGCCACAGGGTCAGCGTGGCCGAGTCCCCCTCCGCGTGGTGGAAGCGGAAGCCCAGCGCGGCGGCGGGGGCGATGAGCGCGCTCTGCAGGATGGGCACGTGCAGCCAGGCCGCAACCCTGCCTTCCGAGCGCCACTGCTGCACGGACGCTGGAACGCAGAAGATAACACTGTTGAAGTGGTTGCCGGGGCGGGCAGTGGAATACGCTCCAACGCATCTACGGGGCCGCCTCCTCCAGCAAAAGCCATCTTGAGCCTCCACTTCCCTTACTAGTTAGCTCCGGGGCCGGGGGTGGGGGGTGGGGGGGATCCCGAAATGGCCTCATCGCACCAGCAGCGCGGGAACTACCATCTTTTATATCGCGACCATCTTGGGGATGGGCTTGTCCCACCAGTCCGAGTTCCCTGTGAGAGTAGTCAGGGCTGGGATGACTTTAGAGTCACGTCACCAGACACAATACTTGCTTAGCACGTGAGCGGTGATCAAGTTGTAGAACGAACAAATAAGCTGACTTAAAATGTTCCTTGTAACACCTTCATTTTAATCTTTACAAATGAGAATCGTGGGCTTCTAACATCTTTACTTTTTAAACAGTTCTGTCACTTTGAAAAGCCGGTGTGGCTACCACAATGACAGACACAGGGTGCATGGGATTCTCAGAGTATTTGGGTTTTTCTTTATAGGCAATGCCGGCGGTCCTGTTGGACTCAGTAACAGCAGAGCCGGCAGTAGCTCGTGCAGGCAGGTCAGTGCAGCGGGAATAGATTCCAGAGACCAGAGACTTAGAATCCCTCTGTGCCTCAGTACCGTCGTCAAAACGAAGACGATAATACGTACCTCCCGGGGCGGTTGTGAGGATTAAGTGGGTGAATACTTGTAAAGCTCTTAAAACAATGTCGAGCACTCAAAGTAAGTGAGAAAGAACTCACTGAAAAAATAAAAAGTATGTGATACTTCTGAGTTTACCAGTTAGTTTCATATAATTTATCTTCGATGACCACATCTACCCAGTCATGTGGGCTGGCATTCACATAGGCAACCTCAGAGGCAAGTATTTCCTGTGGCAAATGCCTGATGCCTGGCCAAGCATGTGGCGGAGCCCGGACCTTGAAACCCGGATGGGAGAGTCCAGACTCAGGCCCCTCTCTTCTGCTCCGCCTTGCTCAGCTCGGACTCCCCGGCTGGTCACGGGCAAGTGACAAATGTGGGCAGTCCCTGCATCTGCCCACGCATACGTGGACACCTTCCAGAGGATGAACACTGATTTAATCTTCTCCTGGTGATATTGCTGGGGCCAGCAACTATTCACAAGCAGGAGAGGAAATGAGAAGTCAGTAGTTTAGAAATGAAGATGACTTAGAAATAGGAGCATTTGAGATCTTGCTCCTGGGGCATATGTTGTCAGTTTGGCTCAAGTAAACTCACAGAAATTCTCAAAAACAAAAACAACCCAACCAAAAAACAACTCCCCAGCTCAATTATATTCACAAAGATGCTCACTTGCTATATTGCTCAATAATAGGACAGATTATTTGAAGCTCCTGTTGTGAGGAAACTTCCCTGGCAGCATTTCCATGTTATGCTTTCCTGTTAAGCTGGGGGTGGGGGTTGGGGGGGCGTAGTTTGGAAAACAGGTTGCTCCACCAAATCTAGGCTTCTCTCAAAGTGAAGGCTCCTCCATCCAAACTTTCCTTCTTATCGCTGGACTTAAGGTTCAGAGCAGGTTCAGTTTCCTTACTGGAAACCAGCCGCCCACCCCCTTCCTGATTCATCGCACACCCTGACCCGATTTGTGTGCGACTATGACCACCGGGGACCTCTGGGCCACTCACTGCCCACCACGTGCGTGAGAGTGTTCGGGCAGAGAGCCCGGCAGAACCACTGCTCGGTAAATGACAGTGACGAATGCAGTGATGGTACTGACAAAGTCTGCGGAGAGTTAAATGGGGACGACGCCGTGCTAAGCACTTCGCGCTCTTTATCCTACTTAACTCTCGGCGGCCCCACGCGCTGCTGTTACCGTTTCACCGAAGAGCAAATGGTGGTTTACAGAACCTGCCCGAGGAGAAGGTCACACGCTAGAAGGCGGACCAGAAACTGGGATGGCCGATCCCAAAGTCCAGGATCGTCACCATTTCCAGCAACCTCCTCGGAGGCCTCCCAGCAAAGGGCGATCACCCGCGCCCCCTGGGCTCGGTGCCAGACAGGCGCAGGCGCGGGGGTCGCCGTTACTTCGCAGGCGATGGGGGGGGGGGCGGTGGTGGGACGCCAGGGACCCTCGGCCCAGGCACTTGCCCTGCAGGGCCCTCTGGAAGGCAGCCGCGTCCAGGCAGTCCAACGCGCCTAGCCGCACCGAGACGCCCCCGAATCTGTCCAGCTCGCCCCGCAGCAAGCCGGCTCCGGTGGGCGGATTCCGCGCGCAACCCGGGCCGCCCGTGGTCCTGCGGTGCGGGACCAAGAGCCGGGCGTCGCGGGCCCGGACCAGCACCGCGCGCAGATAGCCCCGGCTCAGCAGAGGCGACATCCCCCGTGCCGGCCCACGCCGTCCGCTGGCTCAGCCCCCCCGATCGCCCCAGCTCCGCGCGGGGGAGGAGGTGCTAACGTAAACCTCAGAAGAGAGCCGCGCAGGCTGCCCGGTCTTGAGCGGGGCTCATCCCTTCGCAGCGCTATTCCCTGGACACCGCCAAGACCTGTCCGCCAGCTCCTCTGGGCCGTGCGCTCGGCTCCAGGACAACGTGGGGGGAACTTTCCCACCACTCTTCCCCCGCGCCCCCATAGTTTAATTCAGTGCATGTGTATTCAGGGATGGGGAAGACGAACGGAGATGGGGAAAAAGCCCTGCCTTTCTGGAACGTGCAATCTTAATGAGGGTTCCGTCCACCTAATCCGTCTTCCTTGGCGGAAGAACCGCTTCGAAGACGGCGGGCTCCGCGCACGCTCGGGTGCCGCCCCCCCGCCCCCGGCTGTTCGCCTCACTCGGAGAATTACGGCGCGGGGGGTGGGGCCTCGCCGACTCCTGCCCCGGAAGTTTTTCCCTCCGTGAAGCGCGCACGTTGAGCCGGCTTCGGCGCTTCAGCTTCCAGGCTGCCCCGCGATCATGTCTTCCAAGAAGAACCGAAAACGGCTCAGCCGGAGCTCCGACGGCGGGTCGCCCTCGCCCGCCGCGGCTCACTCCCCGGCGGGGGCCTCGGCGGCTCCTGCCGAAGCCGGCTTCGCGGCGGCGCCCGGGACTCTGGCGGTGATCAACTTCTTAGAAAAGGGTGAGAGGGGTGGGAGGGCGGTCGGCGCCGAGGGGGCGCCGCCTGCGGGGACGGGACCCGGCGGTCCGCCTGGAGGCGCCGCGCGCCGAGGGTCGCGAGGGTCGCGGGGCCGAGGGGGGAGAGGCTCGGGGCCAGGCCCGCCGCGGCGCGGGCACGAGCGCTCTGCGCGGGACCGGCGCCGCGGTCCCTTCGTAAACTGTCTGGAATCGCCCAGTTGCACTCGAGACAACTTCGCCTCCCGTGAGACGTCCGATATATTTCACGGCAAAAGAGCTCCTTTCTAGCGAGCAGGGGGGGAGAAAAACGAAGCCCAGTTCAGTCCAGTGTGGGTGCACCCTTCCCGAGGGGCGACGCTGCGCCCTCAGGGACGAAAGGGGGCTTTCCCTCGCACGGCTGCGTGGGCTCTGGGGTCGGGCGGGGGGTAGCTCATCCTTGTCCTCGAGCGTCGCCTTCCCAGTTAACCTCCACGGACGCCCCGGGACACGGACACTCGGTTCATCGTGACCATTCCGCAGGTTGCACAGCTATTCCACGCCAGCGGCGACAGTTGAGTCCAGACGCGTGATCCCAAAGCCGTTATTACCCTCGATCCCAGCTCCCGGGAGCTGGGAGAACGGACTTGCCGGGGAAGCCTTGGGAGTAAATCCTCTGTGCGCCACAGCTTCGAAAATGGGGCGGCCCACAGGCGCGGTGAGACTCGGGTCTGCGCCCCCGCGGACGGACGTAGCGGCGAAGCTGGAGGGTAACTCTGGACCTGGAGCCCCCAGGCCTCCGTCCTCACCCCTCACCGTGGAGACAGCACCACGTGCGCCCGCCAGGCTCGCCTCGAGGGTCCCCATGCTCACTCGCCCCCCGCAACATGGGCAGGTGGTCGCTGCTCGGCCTGCACCCCGTGTTCCCAGGGCTGCCCCTGCCCTGGTCACCTGCGAGGTCGCAGACTCCCAGACCCACCGGACCGACTTCATGGCTGACCACCCTTGACCTCCCTCTCGTAGTTGCCCCTTTCCTCCTCCGTGAAACACTTGACTTCTCCCCTTGGCGCATCTTGAGACTTTCCTAGGTTCTCTTCTTCCCCTGGTGGGTGCTTGGTCAGTTTCCTGCCCGCGCTAGTCTTGCCCCGGCCACCGGGTGTGGCGGCCCTCCATTCTTGGTCCTCGCCCCCTTCTCTAGAATAATCGCTCCGTCCTGACTCACCGACCTCGGCAGCAGCCATGTCCAGCCACCCTCGTCCCCTGGCACACGCAAACCAGTCAGTGAAATTCTGCGGCCCGTCAGAATACATATTTTTTTGCTGATCTGACAAAAGAAATAGGTGTAATTTTGCTTCATGCACACTGGACAGCTGTTGTTGAGTTGGCTGTTGTCTTTTAAATCTGAGGGAAAGAGGTTGCTGCCCGGGACTGAACAGTCAGGGGTCGAGCATTTTAAACGTTCTCGCAGCCCGCCGGGTGAAAATGGCTGGTCCAGACCAAAGCTTCTCCAACGTGTAGGGGAGGTTTTAAAATTTGAGAGAGGTCATAGGTCAGAGCTGCTGCACAACACAATAAAAATAAGTTAAAAAGTAGACACCTGTATGAGATTCAGCAGACGTGAGATCACTCTGTCGGATGGTGGTCACAGCGTCTAAACGTTCACTCTCCTCCTCCGTGCTGACCGGGAGCCAGAAGCACGCACGTGGCCGACCGCACACACGTGGCCGACCGCACGCCCTTTGGATCGCAGTGGGCTGTCTCTCTGCCTTGGAGTCTGTTGTCAAAGGTCCTCCAGGACCGACCCCAAGACCTCACTTCCTGCCACCCAGCAGACTCCGGGCCTGTTCAGTTTTCCCATTTCCAAGTCCAGAACCCGGGGGTCGCGTCTGGCAGCTCTCTTACATCTCCCGGTTGAGTCTGCCCCCAAGTCCCACCTGTCACCTCACCCTTCTCCCCCTTTCCTGCTCTCCTTCACTCCGTTCCCCCCGCTTCCTGCCCTGGGGCCGAGTGGACTTGCGAGCAAACGAAGGTCCTTTGGGGACCCGCTTTCCACCCCTCCCTGGCCTGCAGCGCTGCCAGGGCTGGCCTTGACCTTCCTCACGCGGCCCGCTTATCTCCCCTGTCTCTGCCTGTCCTCGCTCCCCGCCGCCCAGAGATCTTCTCGCCCACAGTCTCTGCACGTGCCGTTCTCTTTGCTCAGGGCTGCTTTTTTTTCCCTCCCCACTTAGTTCTTAATTCCTCCTCTGCAGAACTGAGTCGATACATTACTTCCTCGGAGAACCCTTCTCTTATTCCAGTTAGACCAGACCCCGAATTGAAGGCTTTCCCCCTGGCACACTGAGCTTTCGATTGCACTAATGTCAGTTTATAATCATGCAGTTATGCAGGGGTTGTTTGATAACTCTGTTAGTCTGCTAGCTTGTGGGCCCTGTGAAGCCAAGGACGGTGTCCACTCTGTCCCCAGTGTCTGGCGTAGTGCCCGCCACACACTGGTCACACAGTGAAGGTTTGCGGACTGACTGACCGAGGGACGCGGGGATGGCTGTCCGAAATGACCTTTACTGTCTTGTGGGTTGATCTGGCTCATAAGTGCCCGATACGTCTGCCGTTAGTTCCCGGGGGCATCGGGTGTTGAGATGCGTTTTTTTGTTTTTTGTTTTTTAAATTATTTATTTATTTTTAGAGAGAGGGGAAGGGAGGGACAGAGAGAGAGACATCAATGTGTGGTTGCCTCTCACGTGGCCCCCACTGGGGACGTGGCCTGCAACCCAGGCCTGTGCCCTGACTGGGAATCGAACCTGCGACCCTTTGGTTCACAGCCCGAGCTCAGTCCACTGAGCTACGCCAGCCAGGGCGTGATGCGTTTTTAAGTCGGTCTCCGAGGAAGGAGGACCGGAGCCCGGAACCGGGGAGGGCGGCGTGCGGGGTCCATGTGCTGTCAGCGGAGGACACCACGGCGACGTCTTGAGAACCGGGCCAGTGGACGGGTGTGAACGTGACCTCCGGGGGTGACGGGGGAGAAGCGGCCGTGTTCTGAGGAGCCTGTGGCTTGTCAGGTCCCGGTGCTCGGTGAACGTGCAGGGCGGGGCGGGGAGGGAGAGAACGCTCAGACTGTTGCTGACGACCGCCCCCCACCGCCGGTGAGGGTGCTGTCACGCGGGAGCGGTCATCGTGAGGCCGTGCCCTGGGACACTTGGCCGCCGTCGCCGGTGGGGGCCACGTGAGTTTGCACGTGAGACGGGCACACTGCGTGAGAGAGACCCGATGCTCCCAGGAAAGTCGACTTTCTTTTCAGCCTCTCATGACTACAAAATACGGTCTTTAAAAAAAGAATTTTATTTATTTATTTTTAGAGAGAAGGGAGGGAGAAAGAAAGGGAGAGAAACATCAATGTGCGGGTGCCTCTCATGCCGCCCAGCTGGGGACTGGCCCACAACCCAGGCCTGTGCCCGGACTGGGAATCGAACCGAACCAGAAACCTTTCCGTTTGTAGGCTGGTGCTCAATCCGCTGAGCTGCTGCAGCCGGGGCAAGATGCGCTCGTCTTATTTTGTACTCAGCCCTGTTAGTCCTAGCTCTGCGAAATGCTTCGTGTTTCTGGACAGGCGCGGCCCGTCCGATCAGAGGAGGAGAATGCACGTGCCGGGAAGTTACTTTGCGGCACGGAGTTCTGTACATCAGATATGCTCTTGGTTTCCTTCCGCTGGCTTAGTGTTTCATGACAAAAGAGCTGTTTTTCTGATTATTAGGGAACATTAATACTAGAGCTCTGTGATGATGCCACATGTCTGCAATTCTATATGAAGTTCGTGGCGGGTTAAAATTTCATGAAGTGTTTTGTGGATTTTTGCTGGAAAGAAAAATCCCGCGCACTCACCTACAATACATCCGGTCGCTTCACAGACGCCGTGCGGCTGCTGCACGTGGTGCCGCGCTAGGTGTTGGCCATGCAGAGATAAATACGGCTCGATTCCCGTCCCAAAGCAGTGTGTAGTTTGGGAGAAAGTCAGATTGTAAAGCAGACAGATATGATGATGCTAAGTGCTGGTAACGGGCCTCGGGCCGCGGGCCGTGCTGGGAGAGCCAGAGGAAGGAGCGCTACCCAAGGGTGAGGCCTGAGGGGCCGGGTGGGTAGGGGCGTTTTCAGACCAAGGGTGAGGCCCGGGGGGGGGGTGGAGAGGTCGTCACGTCATTTTCAGAAGCATCGCCAGCTGGGCGGAGTGCGGGGCCCGGGCAGTGTGAGGGTGTTCTCCTGGGGGGCTCCTCCCCGCTCCACGTACTCTTGGGAACAGAGGTGAAAAATATCCGATTGCTACTACGTGGG